CAGCACGCCTGGACCCCTCCGGGGCAGGGGCAGAAGAGAAACCTGCCCCGGGGCTCACAGCACGGGGCTGGGAGAAGCCCCTCCTGGGCCGGGCGAGGGGCTGCCGGAGCACGCTCCCGGCGTTTCGCTGCCCGGACAGGAGGCTCTCCCTCACCTGGATGATGGTGTAGCAGATGCGCCCTGCCTCCTTGCTGAACACGCAGTCTTGGAGGGACTGGTCCACTATAATATTGGCCACTTTCTCCAGGTCCACGCTGCTGGGGTCTGCGGAGGGAGGCAACACCGTCAGCACCCAGCACCCTTCGCGCTGTTCGCTCCGGGGTACCTGCAGAGCAGCCCAGCTCCGCGCTGCGCCTGGCACGACCCTGTAATAGGGTGCAAAAACTCATGCTCTCCCGCATCAAGAGTCACAGCCCCTCTGGCACCCCGGCTGCTCTGGAGGTAGCATATCCAAGGGCGGCTGGGTCCTCCTTGTGCAGAGATGCAGCCATCACGATGGGAAAGCAAAGGAGGAAAGCACGGAAATAGGAGGAAGCAAGAAGTTGACCTGAATCTGAAATGCCAGCGCTGCTTCAAAGTTGGGTAAACGGAAGCCAAACGTGCAAACTCCCACTGGGCTTTGCATAGAGACACGACCGGTGAGTAGGAGACGCCGGGGGCCGGGAGGACGGGACAGGCACGCAGCAGGAAGGGGCAGAGAGAAAGGGAGCTGAAACCAGGTACAGGGAGAGGAGTGAGAGGCCAGATGTGGAGGAGATGCTGGGTGACAGCGGAAGAGGAAGGTGCCAGAAAATCAGAGAAAAACAAGAAAACCACCCTACTGGTGTTAGCAAAAGGGGTCCAAGCACCCGGCTCATCTGCCGGCGTGGCGGAGGAGCTGGAGAAAAGCCCGCTGACCTTTGAGAGCCGTCTTCAGCAGCTGCTGCGTCTCAGCATCGAATGACTGTATCTTATACTCCTCTTTGCCCGTCTCCCCCATGACTGGCCTGCTCCGAGGGCGAGGATCAGGGGAGCGGATGCGCTAGCGGCAGTCCCTGGGAAGAGAGCAAACGCGGCTCAGTCAGAAAGAGAAGCCGGACCTTCGGCGAAGCCCAGAAGCATCCAGTCTGGAGCACGGGCTTTTATCTCGAGAGAGCCCAGCCCCGAAGGAAAGCCCTCTGTTACAAGGGCATCCACACTGCAGCCCTAGATCCGAGGAAATCCTCCCTCCCACGTCTTTTTAGGCCTTGCCTCCTACCAGCCAAGGAGCTCCTGCACTTTGTCTTTACGTTTTTCAAATATGGGGGGGAAAAAAAAAAAAACACTTTTCAGTCTGTTGATCTGCAGGCTCGAACCACCCAGCGCACCGAGGCCGTCCCAAAGCGCGTCTCCCTCCGAGAGGCTCCCCGGGGCAAGAGCACGGGGAAGCACCGGCGGGGCAGG